TTTGAATGACAGAATTTGTTAAAGAATGTTGTTGTTTTTTTTTGTTTTTTTTTTTATGGGCATATTCAGCATACAATTCATGAAGCGCTCCTTGATGTAAACTAAATGTAAACAGAAAAGTTGGTCAATTTTTAGGTCTGAATCACTCCTGCCGCTGGAGCTGCAGCCTGATGACACCTTGGAAATTCTGTCAACACCTGGCATGTTGCTATAGTAGCCAGACGGGTGCTAACCCAAAGAAGGATTAACGATATGAGCCACAGTCTCATAACGAGAGGCTGTTGGGGAGAAAACTGGAAATTGGCTGTCTCCAGAAAAGTGCTTATTGGGCCAAGTTCAAAGGAAACTGCTCAGAGCCAAAACCCAAACGCGAAGCATGATAAACGCAGGATCTGGATAAGGCTAAGCAGCTGTCTGCATTGGTTTTTTTTTTTGTTTTGTTTTGTTTTGTTTTTGAGGCTCTAAAAGTTAAGGTAAGCAATGTACTTATTCCTAAAATAATGCTATGCTTGTTATGGTACTACTCCAGCCAGATAAGCGAATGAGGACTGCGTGCTCCTGGTTGCATGGCTTTCCTACGTTTAAGGCCCTTTTGGAGATATCATGCTTATGATTATTCGTCCAACAAAAAACTCGGCCTTTTGGGGGCCTTAGCAATGCCTGAAGGTTTTGAGGATTTGTGGACAGTTATGAAAAGGTTTCCCAATCGGCACAAAAGAGGGTGGCCATTTCTATGATTCCAGGACGCATGAAAAAGTCTCAATGAGCTGAACTGAACGGGAAGTCGGCCATTTTAATTTGCCGTGAAACATGAAACGGTCATGACCTCACTGCAGATTTAAAGTTAGGATTAAAATAAGATACACAGGTTTAAACGATCAACACAAAATTGGGTGGCCATAACAGCAAGCAAAAAAAAAAAAGTGTCATTGACCCATGCCTGCGATCGAAGAGGAAGTCAGCCATTTTGAGATAATTCCAGGGTTTATACTTTGAAAACCTCCTACCAGGGAATTTGTCTAAGACCAAACTATGTTGTCGTTTTAAAAGGGAAGTTAAGTCTAGATGTCATATGACCAAACAGGTGAGCCGTGATTGGTCGTTACCTTAGCCCTGAGCAACTATGATGTCATTTGCAGTCGACAACAAGTGGCAACATGGCCGCCCCCTGAGATGGATAAAAATGGGTGCATTTTGCTGCTTAATTCATGTTTCACAATTATCAGAATCCCGTGTTTAGATTAGTGGGAGCACATAGAATGCATAGAATGCACATAGTACATATTTTAAACATGATAGTCCATATTTTAAAACTTGACTTCCCCTTTAAATACACATAATGTATTTAGGTACTTTTGTGTTGTGTTCAGTTTGACACAAAACTTCCACTGTGAGTGACATTATACAAACAGCCTTTTTTTTTCAAACTGCTTGTTGTGAAATAAATTTAGTTCACTGCCATTGTACACAATTTTTGCTCGCAAGTCAAAGTAAAATAATTGGCCGAAAGACAGCACCTATAAAAGAAAACTCGTATCGAAAAAAAAAAAAAACGTATCGCAAGGCAATCGCTGTAGCTAAAAATGCAAAGCATTTGACTGACCGGAAGGTTAAACAGCGGTGCCGAAACAAAGCGTTAATTAATTCATAGTGACACACTGAATGGCCCCGAGGTTCAATCTTTCCGAACCTGCCTATGTCTTTATTCTCCTGCCATCCTTCCTTTTCCCCTCCGAGTTACAGATTAGCGCGTAATTACATTAAGAATCAGCAAAAAATGTCGGATGACGGTGGGAGGGTGGTTAGATTTTCAAGAAGGCAGTGGAGGGGTACAGGCGTCGAAAGCAGCAGGAGGAGGAGGAGGAGGCCCGACCTTCGTCACGGGCCGGCTGATTGCCTGCTTTTAATCCTCGACCTCATTATCACCTCCAGGTCCGGCAGTGGCAGTAAATGAATCTATCTGCCGAGTGTCAAATCTTCACACCTTCGCCCTGGTAATCACCCCAAGGTGCAAATACACAAGATGGATAGGGCGCGAGGAGCCGAGGGAAGGGGAGGGGATGCTGGGAAGCAATGTGAGACCCCGACATTCCATCAAGAAAATCTCCTCCGTTCATAATTAAGGCAATTGTCCCGATGTTGTTTTGGCAGTTAAAGATGATTAAATATTCAGTTTCTCTAAGGTCAAACCACTGACAAAATGTATACATGTGACACTTATGGGAGAAGCATATGAAATACTGTCATCGCATTTGAATGTTACATTATTTTGGATACTTCTGGATGTAAATGTGTTTTTTTTTTTTTTTCCTTCCCAAATGATCCAGTGCCATGTGTTTGCATACACACTCTACACCAGTCGTGTCAAACTCATTTTTGTTGCGGGCCACATTGTAGTTACGGTTTCCCTTGGAGTGCCGTTATGAATTTTGAGAAACCATATCAACGTTTAATCACCTCCTCATATACAGTGCACAACAAATTGATGGATAACTAGCTTTAAAATCCGAAGTCAAGAATAATGACTGTTATTGTGGATTACATATGACAATTTGACATTTTGGTTCGACTTTAGCAAGCATCATGGAACTTGATTTGCTTTCGCGGGCCACATACAATGATGTGGCGGGCCAGATCTGGCCCCCGGGCCTTGACTTTGACACCTGTGCTCTACACAGTATCTGACAGCATTTGTATTTTTCTTTATTAAAGCGGTCCAAGGAAAAGCATTAATGTCCAAAATTTTTTTGAACTTTTATTTTGTACTGGAAGCTCCCAAGATAAATAACTATTTCCTACTGTTTTCACGTTTTGGATTTTATTTTCAGGACGAAACATTTGGATTCATTATCGCATAACGTGACTGCATATTAGAGAGCATGCATCTAATTTTCAACTAAAAAAATAAAAAATAAAAATGAGAGTTAAAAACAAAAATATGTTTTCTTTATATTTCTTTATATTTCGGCTTGAAGCGGCAAACGCAAAATTTGGAAATATACAGTCTAGAAACAAAAAAATATATGACTAATTAAAAAAAAAATACAACTGATCCTGTGTGGTAATTTTCCTTCTTTCATTTAATTTAGCCAACGCGTGTGGAAATTCAAACAACCGCATCCCTGTTGTTTCCACACCATTTTACGAGACCTCCGTGAAAAATGATTGAGGTATTTTAAGAAAATGATTCTGTCTGTTATTTGAATCCCGTTAATAATTCACAGGGGCGAATGGCTTTAGGATCACTCTATTACACACTATCCTTGCCACTTCAATAATGCATGCTGATAGTTCCACAAGGTAGCAGAGATTTTTGTTAGATTTGTCCACGGGGCTTGTGACCATTGGAAGTATCGCAACTTATCACAGACGGAGGAAAAAAAAAATGTCAAAAGTCATTTGGTTAAGAAGTGCAGGAAGTTGACATGGCAACAAGCACACAAAGTGCACTTTTGGAGATGTCGAGTCTTTATTTGGCAAAAAAAATGTCATGTGTCCAATAGAACAGCAAGTAAAGTGTATCTCCAAATACCGCCTGGAGATACATGAGTGTAAATAATTGTTTTGTTTTTTGTTTTTTTTCATTGGGAGGTACGGGTAACTTTTTTCTGCTGCCTTTCTTGGCCAGGTCTCGCTTGAAGATTAGCTGACACTGTGCGTCGTCACTTTCTAATGCCATCAAACAATTCCAAATGTTTGCGAATTTTTCTCCAAAACCACAACAAAACAATTTCTGTGTTTGAGATGAGCAACGATATACATTATTCCTGTCTAAGAGAAAAACACGCGTCACCAAATTTGGTGAATTTCTCTTCATAACCAAAAACCTTTTTCTTTGTGTTTCATATTTAAAAAAATGCAGATACATGCTTTTTTTTGTTGAACAGTAACATCATTATACTGTATATTGTCGCCAGCAAATGAAAAAAGCTTTGAAAAACGGGCCGAATACAGAAACATACTGATGACACCAACAAAGACATAATAAAATGCAACATTGCACGACATTTGATCCGCAACCAACTTCGCATCTCTGGAGAATGAGTGCCGGGAGGACGTCGCATGGCTAAATGGCGCACCAGGAGCAGGCTAACATATGCTAACGAGCACAAATGAGATTATTAGGAGGCGGCGTGTCATCGCTCTGACTGATCCACCATGTCAAACTAGCCAAGCCAATTCAATTAGGGCCTAGATGACTCCCTGGCTCTAGTGGAGACGTATGGTGCAGACGTTAAATATTGATGGAAACATACTCGAGATGCCACATTTGTCCGTGTGCGAAAGGTGAACATGTCTCCTGCAGCTCATCACAAAGGCTAAATATGAGGAGCGTCCATTTGTCATCTCAGCGAAGATGCTAAACAGCGACGAGGGAAGGAGGACACACACGTGACGATCGGCTGTGTTAATTATGTTCAAAATGACACGCTGCCCTTACCTAATTTTCCCCAGACAACACACAGTGAAAAATTCAGGGGCTTTTTTTTTTTTCCTATTATCACCTGTGGTAGAGATCATTCATGTCATTGGCCTAAAGTCTAAGAAACATACTGATGTTTATATCTAATCACAAAAGGCACCTTTCGACCAACAGCTCGCTCATCTTAGCTCCAAACAGAGATCTTCAAACAAGGAAGATGTCATCAGTAACCTCTCACGTCAACGTTTCTGAGCAAAATTCTCAAGGACCTCTTGTAATATAACAACGGGGTGAAAATTCTCCACACAAGCAGCAATGATTTAAACGATGCCAATAGAAAACCATTTGATGTCGATTTTTAGGTGGGCACGGCAGTCCCACAAATTGCACATGCCAGAAACTGCCACGGCGCTAAAGAGGTGATGCTGAACAATTTTGAATAAAAAAAAATATGGAGGAGGCAACCGTACAAAATGCTTGCGTCGTTTTGGGAATGGTGTCATGGACAATGTGGAAGAATGAAAAATGTGGGAGTCTGGGGAAGGTTTGAAAAAAAAAAAAAAGACATATGACCTACCTGCTGTTAAATTTCTCCGGGTGCTTCTCCCTCATCACGTGAAAACGATGTGCGATGGAGGCGTCCTGCAAAGTGAAATTTAGATGCTTCATTAAGTCGGCAACGAATCCTGCATCTCTACACTGTGAGGCCGACATGCTAACCTGTTGACTACCACATACATATATGTGCGCGCGCACACACACACACACACACACACACACACACACACACACACACACACACACACACACACTACATTTTCCGTACTAAAAGGAGTATAAGGCACACACACTACATTTTCCGTACTAAAAGGAGTATAAGGCGCACCTTCAATGAATGGCCTATTTTAAAACAGTTTTCATATACAGGGCGCACCGCATTATAAGGCGCATAGAATGGATGTGACAATAGTGGCTGAGGTTGCAGTATGTATCCACTAGATGGAGCTACGCTAAAGTGAATACAATAAAATACAGCTTTATTTATACCGAGTTTCACAACCCCTGCAGCTGTAACAAAGTAAATCAAGTAAAAACTACCAAGAAGAAGTGCAGTGAATCATCAACTTATTGTTGCAAATTGTGTGATTATGGATCTCCTCATTTCTAATATTTACGGCAACTTCTTGCTCATTAACAGAGCACCACGTGGCGTGTGCTAAGACCGCGGTGTGAGGAGAGGTGGCGCGCTATTGACAAGGAGAGGCCTGATGACGGAGGCAGCTAATTAACCAAACACACATCGCCGATAATCACAGCTCCAGGTGGCTACAGACACCGTGGAAACCGTCCTCCCTTCCCTTCCACCACCTCTTCTCCTCTGACACTCTTGACCACCCTCTCACCCTCTTTCGCAGCCACCCGCGCAGAAGCCGTAGACGAGAGGCGGGAAAAAGTGTGAAGGTTTGTTTTTTTTTTTTTTAAACATAGCATATGCTAGAGAAGCGTGACTGACACAGACACTTCAGTTGCATATTAACACCCCGCCGTCTGCTTGGACCATTTAAGAAACCAAACTTTGAGCGTGGAGTTCATTTGCAAGTTTACTTGTTGGTAGATTTTGATCAAAACCAGTGAATCTTCTGCTGGGATGTCACACAATTTAATAAGTAAGGTCTTGGTGAGTATGAGGAAGCCAAATTGAAGACTTTCTAGACTTGTCTTGCCAAGTTTATTCCTTTCCAGAAAGAGGCGAAATGGTATCTGCTTTAAATGAAATCTTCCTGCTGTGTGCTCTGAATAAACACAGATAGTTTTCTCGTCCCTTTGTTGGCAAGAGATATTGAATGTCGCGGGCTACTCCATTGTGTCATATTCTACCTGCGCACCAAGCATGAATTGTATCATGACTTACGGACAGCGTGGCATTCGATTAAACGGCATTGTGTCGCTTTGAACATTCTGCCGGTTTATTGGGAACAACTGTTTTTGTGTGTTGTCATATCACGACCCGCTAGTAGCCGCAATAGCTATTTTTTTTCACCACTGAAAATACATTCGCACACCAACAAGAGCACAGATCTCAATCAAGTTGTTTATTTTATCTCTTGTGTATGTCTGCAATATTGTAAGCAGTGAAATCCGGCGATTGATTGGAAAGGGAAGTAAATAACGTCTCTCGAAGTAAGTCAGCGTTTGAATTCCTGAGAACCGACCATAATCGCATATTTCGGCTTCTCTCATAGGATCTTGATTCTGTGTTTGGTGAGCCATCTCCACAATTTTCAATGAGATCTGCAATAAAATTTGAATTTATTTGAAGGTTTTTAACAGAACTTAACCTGGGGTGCTAATAATCATGGACAATGCTGTACAACATCTTTGGGATATTGGATTATATTTTGTCAAGTATGAAATGGAGATTTTTCTCCTGGAAAATATGTACTTTGCTTCACTAAAGGTGAGGAAACACTGATCCTGAAGTCGAGGGAGGTTTGGGACATTGGTCGATGCTCTTTTCACACATCCACCATACTGCCCAAATAAACCAAATCTAAGCACTTTGTTCAAGTGGTCGAAACATCATGGTGCTTTTAAAATCACTACTTCTGGTGTAAAGTCCCTGCGATGGAAAGGTTTAGCCCCACAGAGGCCGGGCGGTGGCATCCGTGTGGGTTTCGCTCAGCAGCTTGACCTCCTTAAGTCGCCGCGGTGAAGCTTTTGGTGTTGCTTGTCAACGCCTCAACCCAAAGGGGAGACAACTAACTAGCTGACTACCTCCCTCCCGGCTGGCTACTCTTGTCCTGTTTGTAAGAGAATCAAGTTCCCTCAGATACATCCATCATCTCACCTCTCCGTCTGCTGCGTCTGCAGGGAATCAGCCAAAACACTTCTTTTGGTCTTTTTGAGGAGACATCAAGAAGAAAAAGAGGTGCCATTGATTTTTTTTTTGGTCTTCCTCTTTTGGCTTCTGCTAAGTTTGTGCACTAGCAGGGGGTCCTCCTTGTGTTTCAATCGTGCCACTCAAAAAGGAGGGGTGGATCAAAACACATTGTTGGAAGGGAGGAGGAGGAGGTGATGGAGGAAAGGGGGAGTTGAGCGGAACAAGCCCCCTCCAAAAAAAGTTTGCGGTAACTCGTTTTCCGTATTCCTCACAATTGTTATCGAGCCAGACAGCTTTGCTGAGTTCAGCCTCTTTTTTCAAAGACCTTGCCAGCATTTTGTGGCCGACACTTAGAAGTGTGAATGAAAGGAAACGTCAGCGTCCTCACTTGATTACTTTAAGCTTCGCCGTACCGGCTACATTCCATCCATCTTTTCATTCATTTTCAACACCGCTTATTCTGAACAGGGTCGTGGGGTGGGTGGTGGTGCACCTTATATAAGGAACACGGTTTGAATGGTAAACAAGTTGTATTTACTGCATTTATTTTAATATTTTGTGTCACATCAAAGAAAGAAGTTCTAGCAAGAAACGGTTTCTCTGTTGAGTCATGACTATATTGGTTAGCATATGGGTGGTTCTCACAAAGTATGGTGTATTTTAGCTAGCTAGCTAGGTAGCTAGCTAGCTTGGTAGATAGCAATTGTAAGATGAGGTACTCATCAGTTAAGGAACCACTGTACCAAGAACTAAAAGATCCTGACAATTTACAGTCACCTGCGACACTGCCCGAAAATAATTACTAATGTAAAATTGTGTCGGGCGAACTAACGTGGGACATGTGTAATGTCCTCGCATAACTCAAGATTCAGCCCAATTAGAAGCAGGGCCCCGGCGCTTTCATGTGCCTTTCATGTGGGGAGAGTAATGTCCGCCGAAAGGAATGTGGCGCGGTCATTAGGCCGACTGACTGCATTATGCTAGCGTAGTGCACACCCTGATTAGTTCTGTCTCTCAGCCCTGATTGAAATCATTGAATGTCATGTTGAATCTGGGGAAAAAAGATGGTTACTTCTTTTAATCTATCCATCTAGCTAACTAGCTAGCTTTTATGCCGGGCTCTTTTAGTGTGTTCAAAGTGTGTATAAAAAGTCACTAGCTCCTTTTGGTGTGTAAAAAAACTTGTATATCCTTTTTGTGGACACAAAAGTGTGTATAAAATGTCCTTCAACTTCACATGGCACAACTTTACTACAGCGTGATGAAGCTACATGGTTAGCACTGCCAATTGCTGATCTTTTGATTTGGGCTGTTTCATTATAGAAACAATCTACTTTCCATCAACATAATCTCTGAGGTAATTATTAGCTTGACTTGTCGTGTAATCTTTACTTTAGCCTACCGCATCCCTCGAAAAACATTATGGAAAATGTGTCAGAAAATATATGACACTCTAAATCTATAGAGAGCTCAAAGTCTTCTTAATCCCCCACAAACAACTTCATTTGTTAACATCATGCCTGCTGGCTGATGCTGCGCAATTTATAATGACTATCGAAGCAAAAGTGTGTACAGAGGCAAATAATTAGCATTACAGATGGTAATTGGTTTGAATCAGAGAACTATCAATCTAGTCTATTGCATTGTTCGCACTTGTATTAGAATATAGGTTGTGGAGCGCCTTGCCGTCACCAAGAAAAAAAATATATATAACATCTGAATCTCCGACTCACCACGCCAATAGAGAAGTAGTTGTTGATGATACTGTACGGCACCGGGTCTCCCCGCTCGTCCTTGTCGGTGGCCGTGACGTCGATCTTCCAGCGGTCCAGCATTACCTCGCTACTGTTCTCGATGTCACGCAGGATCTTGAGCAGGCTCTCGCCCTCGTAGCCTCCGTGAAAGGGAAAGGCCACAATGTTTATCCTTCAACCCAAGTTTGATAAAATAATGACACCTGAACGTTATAAATAGCCGAGAAGAGAAAGACACTGTGCTGGAAATCATTTCATCATTCCACATTCCCTTCACACTATATAAGAATTTTTTACAGTGAACTTTATTGTTGACTAAAAATGACACTAAAATTAGGGAATGAGTGAATGATTCCGAACACAACAACTGCATTCAAAGTTATTCATCATTCACTACTTGCTAATCTCTGCGCTGGGATTTTTTATATTGTGCATTGTATACGATAGTTGACTTATCAGTCAAATAAAAATAGTTTTGGTCGACTACAGGTGCACCTTTAATTACATCATTGTTGTGACGAAATTACAACGTAGCGGATATTGGTAATCGGAATCCAATTGTTAATTGCCATTGACGAACATACACATCAAGTATGCTTTTCAATTGGTAGGCGTTGATGAGGGTATCGCCTAGTTTTTTCGTGAATCTCAAGTTTGCAAACCATTGTAATAACAAACAGATCCTTGTCAATGGTCACGTTCCGTCGCTCTGGATTTGAAATCAGCACAGCTTTTTGACATTTGAACCGCATTACAAAATGGCTACCTGTACATGTCACAATATAGCGGATAAGGACTAATTTCCACCAAAGCTAATGTTTTCTTACTGAGCCCACCAGCTTCTGCCACCTCTTATGTAATAGGTACATAAAATGTGATTCTTGCACGAACGAATCTAAACCGTGGATGGTTTTGTTCTGTGGCTTTGTCTCTCTTCCAGTACCTCCTCCCCAGCGCAGACATCTGGCCAGGTCATTTCCTGTGCCGAGCGGAAGTACACATACTGGCGGGTTCCGGTCCAAGTTGGCCTTGTCTAGAAAACGAGAGATGAAGTTACAACTCTGGCAATCAATCAGAGCAAAGTGAGAGAAAGGACAAAAAAAAAAAAATCAATTTTGAGCACTGCTCTGGTGCTAGTTAAGGTAAACAACATGGTGGTCTATTTCCAGAGGCACGTTTTGTCCAACAGCCATTCCCTCTTATTACCTTGCTCTTGTTTTGATTGATAAAAAATTGAGGCAATTTTATTTTATTTTATTTTATTTTTTTGCTGGCCAAGTTCAGACGTAGTCGTGGCCAAATAAAGACAAGCGGGCGATTCTTTCGTCTTCTTTCTATATTTTCTTTCAAACGGTCCAAATAATGACTAATATGCTGTTTCATCATCCCATTTTACCACCCTTGAACACGCACGGTCGCGTGTAATGAAAGTGTTTACATACACGCCAACTGTGTTTCTACTTCTAGTCAATAATGATGTGAGCTTCGAAAACTGATTTAAAAAAAAAAGGAGTGTTGAAGCAGGTGTATGTTGTCAAAGAGGGGCATAAATGACAGCCTGGTAAATCGCTGGAAATGGTGAAAGGGTTCTGTACCAATAAAGTCGAGGATCCAGCCCACCGTCCCATCCCCTCCGCAGGCCAGCACCCGGAAATCGGGGACGTCTCGGAAGAAATTCAACCTGCGAGGGACGAGTAAAACATGTTACAGTTTTATACAGTAATAGAAGAGCTTGAATGACCTCCACCGAAGCCGTACAGTGACGCGCCGCTCTAGGATTATGGGTAATATCGCCTTTCTTTTGATCAATGTTGATCAGGAACAGTCTTTGCTTTAAGTGCCTTGGGGCACCTTTCACAAGCATTTTTAGAATTCCAACAACCTGACCTCGAAGCACTTTTGGGTCATCTTGCCGCGATAAGTAAGGAAAGTTCCTCAGCATATAACATAATCTGAAGAAGCACAGAGTGTCTTGTCTGTTGCAGGCTTCAGGAGAATAATTTTTTATTAAGTTCCGTCATTTTATGACTAATAAAGTAAATGAATTGCATATTGTTTCGGAACTTTTATGAGCATTTTAAAGCGGATTCATAGTCAGTGATAGAAATGATTTGGCCGAACATCAGAACCTTGATGAGTACTCACCACTCCACTGCGCCCCTTCTAATAATAATAATAAAATTGCCGATCACTCATCTGCTGCCTGGTGCAGGGCTAATCGGATCACAACGGCCAATGTTCAGTTGGACGTCTTCCGTTCCTTCACAATAACAAAGCGCTAACTGAATGAAGGCTCGCATGGCGGCTAAATGACTCGCTCAATTACACCCCGACGGGGACGGGCAAACCGCATTAAAGAGGCAAACAGACGGCCGCGCACATGAAAGGCAACTTTGGGTCCATTGAAAGAGCAAGAAGCAAACACTTCATTTGCGCTTATTGCGTTAGCCAGGGAGCTAATTGACAGCAGCAGGGTGTGCGCCCGGCCAGCAGCGTCCACTTCGCTAATGCGGCAGAGAAAATATGAACCAGGATGCAGCGGCGCGAGGTCACGGGGAAATTTCTGGGATTTGAGAGGGAACAGATTTTGGGCGGGTAACGGAAGATGAAGGCGACGACTCAGCCTCCCTTTTGCTTGCGGCGTGTGCCGCTCAGCTTTTATTCCTGATAAAGGCGGCGAGGCTCGGCTAATCGAAGCCAAACAACGTAGCGGCAGGCACGACGGCGGCGCCGACGCCAGATGCCGAAGGCCAAGAGGGGAAACCCGACGCATGGAAATCAAACATTCCCGAGCTTAATCACAGACGGCCACCGTCTGGAAACGTCATACCGGCCACTCGTCTAGCTGCTCATCTATATGCCGGATCACATGTCGTCTCAAAGACGCGCGTAAGCACCGAAGGCCTCTCACGCATGCAATGCTGGTTATTACGCATTGAGCAATGCAAAATGTCACTGAATTTGTCAACAGGTAATAATAAGCAGACAAGATTTGAAGTGCGCTCTCCCCGCAACGCTTTCCTGTCCCGCCTTTTCCAAATTTAGAAGTAAAATGTGGCTGTGTTTGGCTCCCAGAAGAAGCCAATGTGTCAGAAGAAATGTTCTTTGACAATTAAAATTCAATTCTGGAATCCTTCTTCTTTAAAGATGAACATTGTGGACTGTCGAATGGTGAAAATGTTCTCCAAACTATTTTTGTGGCGATGACTTCCCTCGGGATGTTTTTTTTTTTCACCCCCTTGACAAAAACACTTCAGAATTAACATTACCTAGTTCTGCTTTGTTGTTGCCGCATTGCACTTTATCTCCTTTTCTAAAGGATCCTAAAGTTTGGACATTCTCCGTATTTTTACGCTTACTTTCTTCCTGGCTCAAGGCACCTTCTCTCGTTGGAAGTCTGCAGTCACATTAGTCTATGTGTAAAAAAATAAACACTGCTAAGCTTTGAGGCCGAGATTTGCTTCAACCTTTTTTTGTAATGGAATTATTTGAATACGTTGTTTGAATAATCATTGCAGCCCTGTATTTGTTGCTGTAAATGTACTTTTTTTCCCAGTCATCCCACAAAGGTACATGATGAATAAAACTATGGAAAATATGTGATTTTCACTGTTATAGTCAGCTTGAATTGGGGTCAAGCACTGTTACTAACCAACTCCGGCAGACTGAAACAACATGGCTGTTCACTTCATGAGTTTCCAATCAAACAAGACGGACGGGCATGTTTAGGTTGTGTAAATCTTCCTTGGCGGAGGTCCGTGACTATTTGGTTGAAGTACTTACCCTGGCATGGGTCCATTCTTAGCCAGGTTGTACACCTGTCTCGGATTTAGGAGGTACTGGAACTTCCTGTAGATCCTGCAGAAGTGTCACATGACCGAATAAGGCGACAACAACAAGTTCCTGTTGAAATGCTGTGTGACCAAATAAGGCAATGTTACTCTGAAATCCCAGTAGAAATTTCACTTTAACCAAATTAAGGCAACAAACAAGGTTGCCACCTTTCAAATCTGAAAATAAGCGTTGCGGCAAAACCACAGCAGCGGAAGATATTCGAGGGTTTGGCTCCCCAAAACCCTGAAATGCAGATAAATCACTTTTTTTTAATATGAAAAAAAAACCCCACAATGCTTTGATTTAATTTATTGAGCATGTCATATTAGCCTCTGGGCCTTGGGGTCACTTGGTGGTCAGTTAGAAAGGAGAAGTCAAGAAAGCATTTCGACATACTTAAAGTGCTTTCTTAGCAATGAATATTGTTATTTTATTTCTAGACTGAAGTAACGCTTTCAGGGACAGCGATTACTACAGTGGACAGCTTATGTTGTCATGTTACAGGGTGCATGAAAGGTTTAAGAGGAAGGAAAAAAAAAATGAAACACTTGTAAACTTGCGTGTATACATCTTCAAGGCTGACTAGAATGAACGAGGGTGAACTTGAGCATACTGATGCTTGAGTCTTTCCCCCTCCGTGCGACGCGGTGAGACGGACTGGCCGGCGGCGGGGCGGGACATACCCTGAGACCCCCTTTGAGGAGAAGCCATTAGAAAGACTAATTCATTTTAATTCCAATTTCATTATGTCAACTGGCTGAAGTCATATTTTGATCTCATAATTTAAACAAATGGGGGGCCGGCATAATAAGGAGCGAGTGATGATGTTTCAGTAATAACCCAATTAGCCCGGAGTTACAGAGAGGGCCCGGGTGGTGAGGAAGGGGTTGCTAACAATGGGAGGGGCTAAAAAAAAAAAAAAATGACAGTCTTTGCTTTAGATACTTGTTATCAGAGCCCAGGATGCAGTGTGAAGGTGGTCTTTAAATTGGGCCAAATTGCCCACGTTTTGGATGGTTCCCACACTCATAAAACTCACTATATTTACGCTAGTGATTGTCATCCCACAAAGCTAGTGAATTCATCCCACAAAGGTAGGTTCGTTGAGTATCCTGACGTTTGGAAGGCATGCCTTCCAATAATAGGCTACCTGATGAGACACAGAAAGTAAATTATGACATTTTGACTTGAGGAAGCCATTTTTAGCATCATTTTGGCTAATCCCAGGGGTCCTTAACAGAACAGTTTTGTTCCATTACTACCAAATATGAAACTCGTCTATGATATATTCTACATACGATCATTCATGCAACAAAGAGGATGCCGAAAAGTGGTTAAGATTGAATGACTGTCTGTCTTATGTGTTGTGTTGTATTATTTTGTTATTTTGACTTCAAGATGGTGCCGCGAGAGTGGCTGCCTTTACAGCAGCTCCTATATTTTGTTCTTCTACTTCTTCCTTTCATAACTTTGCTGCTGTGAATTGGGACTTTCTCCATTGTGAGACTAATAAAGGTTTTCTTATCTTATCTTATACAGATGCCCAACACTACATTTTGAAACATTTGAGTTTGATGGCTCACCGTAAACACATACCTGTAATGACTAAGATGAACAAGGTCTGAGACAGTTGAACCCTTTCATGCATCCTGTAAACTGATAACGTAGTAACTGCTGTCCCCGAAAGGGTTAACTTATCACCGTCGTCCACTGTGGTAACCGCTGTCCCCGAAAGGGTTAACTTATCACCGTGAAATTTGGTGGGCATATCTACAGTGTTATAAGCAAACCCACAAAAACTTATTTCGAGGACATGGTCTGAAATGGCACCGGAAGTCAATCACCCTGGTTCATACTGTCGCTGCCATTTTAGGTTCATTTTGAATATTTCCAGGAGCCCTCAAAAGACAGACCCAGACTAAAATGTGAGAAATTAAAGAGTTTTCTTCTTTTTGTGTGTGTGTGTGTGTGTGTGTGTGTGTGTGTGTGTGTGTGTGTGTGTGTGTGTGTGTGTGTGTGTGTGTGTGTGGAGCAATGAAGTTACAGTATTTTGAATACACCAATCCACCTGAACTCATTCAGTACCAGCCAATTCTGGACCAAGTCTGAAAGGACGTTTAAAAACGTCTTTGGGAGTGAATGAGTTTTAAACAAAGCACAAACAAAAGAGACGGCTTGTGGCATTATTTCGAGCAAATTAATTCAGAGTGACATATGAAATCGTTGATAGCTTAAAAACCATAACAGCACAGCACAAACAACTGAGATCTTCCGAGGCTATACAGAAGCAGAGGCGGTTTTTGGTGTTTTATTTTTTTAATCGAAACAAACGGTGCACTCACCTCTCTCCCTGTTTGCCACCGCTCTTTGGATTGACAAACACCAGCAGCGGATGAGTGCCCTCTATGGTCGTGATCTGAGCGGGAGATGTCAAAACAAAGCGTCGGTGTTTGGAGAGTGCAGGATGCTTTGCTGGAAATCGCTTTCAAGATGCATCCCCTCAAACAGTTTGAGCACACGCATGCAGCGCAGCTTACATCGCACACACTGAAAACTGTGCGGATCTCGCAAGGCCTTGCTATTGTAGCCATCATTTAATATCACACTCAGGAAAATTGGATATACATGTGTGGGAATTGCCATGACACAAAAAACCGTTGAGCAGGGGAACCTTGTTAAAATGTCAGCTGACAATTTTAATCCCTCTGAGATGACGATTTGTGAAATAAAAAATATTGAGCAGAAGGATGATTTTTTTTTCTAATTATGGATCTAGGCCCTTTTAGCTTTGGTACTTGTAGTTCCTGGAAGGGTTCCATCGACATGGGTCAGCGAATCGCAGAGGGAACATTGCACAAGTAAATTCGGTTATCGTAAGTTGAGGTCTCACTGTATTTGTAATCATAATATTGTACCGTATTTTCCACACGAAAAGGTGCACTGGATTATGAGGCGCACCTTCAATGAATGGCCTATTTTGTAATTTTTTTCAAATATTGGACGCACCGCGTTATAAGAAGCAATCTGCAATGCATCCACTAGATGGAGCTACGCTCAAGGAAATGCCAACAGAACACGACGCTACACTACACCCTGATTTATATAGCGTCGATCAGAAGTCAGTAAAACTTATTGAATGAAGCAGCGACACAGTTCACTTCACCAACAGCAAGTTATAACATTGACTCGTTAACGTTGAACTCTCTTGCCGCTGCTCTATTTCCGTGTTCAACTGCGAATCCGATCGCCTTAAGTTTGAACTCTGCGTTGTAAGCATGTCTCTAGCAAGGAGCCATTTTGGGGGTCGAAATATTACCGTAATGACCATACACAAGGCGCATTGGATTTTAAGAAAATGGAAGGCTTTTAGGTGCGGAAAATACAGTAAGTTAATTAATAGAGACAATTCCAAAAACAAAAAAGGTTTTGGAGGGTGCATTGACCATTTGCAAATTTTTGTGTTGGTTCTAGATCCCGACCGCCAGCGACTGGCTCGATTTGACTGCACTCTCAATACTCATAAGTCAGCACGTGTTAATTGGCAGCCACTTGGTCTGCTGTGACGTGGGGGAATCACTTCCCAGTCTCGGAGAGCGCCGCGGGCCGAAGCTCGCGAAGCGCCAACCCAAACAAGCTCTAATCCGCCGGCCCTTGTTTGAACGGGGCCTTTGCCGCCGTCAGACCCCCCCCTTACCCCCACACAACCTACTCCCCTCCCCACTTCTTGACACAGATGAAGTGCTTAACTCTCCCTTGTCTGCTATCCCAGCAGGCCGAGGGGGGAATTAACGAGCTCCCCGTCCAGCCCCAGAGTGATCCATTACTTCCTGTAATTATAAATAATAATCTTGATTATTACGCTGGTTAGCCGGCGAGGGGCATAGACGGATGTGGACCGGGATGCGATTCATCAGACGAGCAGTCGCCACGGACGCCGTAAATGGCTGACAGATATCACAAGAGAGGATCGTGGACAGGGCAAGCCGGGAATAGGAAGCCGCACGCAGATCCTAATGTGCGCCTCAAAAGTCAACGAATCGTGTTCATTTTGTTTTGCGTTTGAGGCCGTAGCTATATATTCGCAGCAAAAGTGCTTTTGATGTGCTTTCCATTTACACCGCATCAGTTTAATAATAGTTTGAGATTGTCATGAGGCAACAACACAAGGACCAACTATGAGGATTTATACTTCACTATTCCCTGATTTCAAAACGAGTTACAATGTCAACTTGTGGGTATATTTAATAATAATAATCAAATGCAGGGGCAATCATGTCATTATGAAATGAGGGGATTCAACATTTATCGGGTTTTCACAGTTATAGCCCCAACCTCTGAGGGCAACCGTGACTCTGACTGTTTCATTCGGCGGCCACTTTGAGTCATAAAAATTGCAAAGTCGAACATACATACACTTGAATAAACTGATACAAACGTTTAAACACAGAATAGAAAACATGCTTTTATAACAACAATTATACGATAAATCACAATGTTGGATCTGTTCCTGTTGCACTGTTTTTTTCCTAAAAACATTTGTGTTCTTTAAATTTTATTGTGCATAATTTTCACTTTTTTTTCCTAAAAATAAGACAACCTGTGACTATAGCGTTCTGACTCACACTCCAAATCCCTTTTTTTGACGACAGCGAGCAAGTTCCGGTTGCATTCTAAACTTCCACTTCAAATGACGGAATGGTTTTTCTTTTTAGTTTAAAATGGCTTACCTTAACTAGAATTCCGCATTTCACTGTGGTCAAAAGTAGAGCCCTGGTCAGTTATTGTGTCTTTTGCCGCTGTCAATAGTAAATCCTTGTTGTGGACGCCACATGCTAAACTAGTGAGCTAGCTGGGGAAACGGTCCCATATTAGTTGCCATGATTCTATTTCCTCTATTTTGTTCTTTGACTTTATTTTGGTGGTTGGCAAATAATGTAAGTGCATTACCGCCACCTTCTGAAATTGAGTGACAATATTCAATGCTTTTTTTTTTTTTTTTTACGATTAGCTGGTAGGGGATTTTGGTGTGCCAGCCTGAGCTCTAATACTAATATATACGCAAGTCGAATGACCAGCCAGACGATGAAAAATGCGTGCCTTATAGTCCGAAAAATACGATAAATGTCCGTGTTTACACAATCAAAAAGCCCAGAATTTATGCCGTACCATAATACCACTAAGCTCTGGTAGTGGCTCATCAGTGAACAGAAAGAAGTGGCATGTAGCCCTCAGAGGGGCTATTTGTGATTGTGTACATCACCTGCAGGCCTTGACCGTCCACCGTAACCGAGTTGGCTCGCTGCACCTTTCCGCGGCTCGACAGGCTGCACCGCGAGTCCTTCCTCAGCGTCGACTGCCTTTCCTGCAAATGAAAAAGAAATATAAGAACTGTAAATTGTCCTTGTTCATGTCTAGAATGAAGAGACCGTTGGGTCTTTTCCCAGTCATTGTGCTTCTTAGACGTGACTTGAATGAACGAGCCATCAATTGGCGAACAGTTTTTGACAGTTTCAATGTGCAAAATGGCGCCGACGGTCGTGACAAGCGATCAATCCAATGGGGTGTTTGCTAGCAACTCAAACAGGAAGTGACAAATGCAAACAAAAGGCAAAGAAAAGACATCTTGAAGTTCATTTGGAGCTTGATCCCATGGCATGCTTGCGGCAGTTTTCTTCCCCCAGTTTGTTTTCCGAATCGCGATTTGAAAATTGCATTCTACTTCACTACTATGTTGGTTTGATTTCAAATTGTTCAGTCCCTTATAAAAACTCCGTTTTGATTTAATATTAATTTGACAATGTTTATTATTGTGGTTCAAGTTCTTATATAGATAACGAAGCAACTGATTAGAAACTGCTCGTTATGACGAAGCACCACAAGGACTCAAAACAGGATTTTGCTTTATTTTTAAGTGTGTTAAGTGTGCAGATGTAATTAATAAAGTTTCAGATAAAAAATTTTAAAAAAAGAAAGAAAAAGGGTCTCACCAGGACGACGGGGCAAATGGAGTTGGGCGGCAGGATGTGATCCCTGAGAGGTCCACAGTCACACTCGGGCTTCACGTGGGAGGCACACTTGTTGTGGAGCTGCAAGATGTCCAACCATCCATTATTATTTTTACTAGTGGTAGCGCTCCATGTTTAAAAAAAAAAAGCGTCAATACAAATGTGAGTGAAGGAATTTCTTTCGCTAGCGGATGTTCAGCCAAAGCTTAAATTTGGAGTCTTCCCTTGACTTTTTCACAATCAGTGAATAATAATTAGTGTGATCATTTTTATTTTCTGGTAAATTTTGGGTTTTTCATTCGTATCCTGGGCTAGATTTCAGATTTTCAAACGATTGTTGTTGCAACGTGAGGGTAAAACTACTTCAACAAAAATATTTTAAACCATTTATAGGGCAAGGAACCTTAGATGAAGTCAAAATGGACCCTGCACGTTTCACAAAGAGGCCGTTGAACCATGCCCTTTTTTTTTTTTTTTTTTTTTAGCTAATCAAAGAAAGGTAACAATTATCATTAAAAAGTTGCAGTTGAATATGACAACAAAAATCTACATATCATATTGAAACATCATTGATGAAAAAAAAAAATCAAACAAATCAATGAGATTTCTATGTGGTTGCTCGTGACTTTTGGCTTGTCCCATTTGAGTCTGGACTGAATTTGTCATGCTGAAATGCATTCAAGTCTCAGTCATAGTTCTCCATTTATTTATTTATGTATTCCTTGTTTAGCATATTGTCACCCTCACACAGCCATTTAACATGTCGTCTTGTCGTGTGAGTGTAAATTGGCCGAGGTGTGTGTAAAATTAAATAAATAAATAACAATCGCAAACTCTTTTGACAACAACTCCAACCAGAAGGTGGCTGGCCTCTTGACGGTGCGCCCTCACCGTGATTTGACACCACACGCAATGAAGCCCAGTTAAGCCCTGGTAACACTTAATGGTTTTGTGGCACTTGTCACACTTGGTGGGGCAGTTCCCTTCCACCCAGAAGTGATGCATAACCTGCAGAGTGAGTGACAAAAAAAAAAAAAAAAAAAAAAGGACAGGTGGCAAAAGTTACTTCCACGTGGAAATTAAGCAGAAGTAGAAATAGGTAGTTAAGAAAGAGGCCGGTAAAAGGTGAAGCACTGATTTGATGCCTTTAGTTAAGTAGAAGTCAAAAAAATTCATCAATAAATTTAAAAAAAGAGAAAAATTACAGACTCCGAGATGGCCTGAACTCATTTACTCCTGTGGTTGTGTTTACGCTATGGGCTTGGTGGCCATCGAGAATCTCGGGAGATTTCGGTCTATTTGAGGGCCAGTCAAATCTCCCACACCCACGATGATGACTATATCTTTCATCCGCCACACGACCCCTCCACCGTCAACAAATAGGTTTCATCGCATGACGTCCGCCGTATGACAGCTAACACCCTCCACCCTGTCCTATCGACACATATTCCCGGGCATAATTTTGGTCTCAATATGTCCCTGGACATGCCAGACTTAGGTAGAACTTTACGACGACCCAAATCCATCCATCTTATGATCTGCTTTATCCTCACAAGGGTCACGGGGGTTGCTGGAGCCTATCACAGCTTTCCTCGGGCAGTAGACGGGGGACACCATGAACCGGTTGCCAGCCAATCGCAGGGCACACAGAGACGAACAACCATTCATGCCCACACTCACACCTAGGGACAATTTGGAGTGTTCAATCAGCCTGCCATGCATGTTTTTGGGATGTGGGAGGAAACCGGAATACCGGGAGAAAACCGGAATACCCGGAGAAAACCCACACAGGCCCGGGGAGAACACGCAAACTCCACACAGGGAGGCCGGAGCTGGAATCGAACCTGGTACCTGTGCACTGTGAGGTCGACGCGCTAACCACTGGACCACCGGGTCACCACGACCCAAATCAATTCGCGATAATAAATCTGATTTTTTTGAAAAATTGTAATACAGATTAATGCATTGCTTGCGTTAAAAATGACACGGCAGCAGTACCTTGAAATATAATCGCATATTAAAGCGCAATCACAAAATTGAGAGGAAAAAAAATTCAAATGAGACTATTTTTCAAAATCATTCGTTCCGACCAGCTACTGCTTGGAACAAAAACAACCAAAAAAAAAAAAAACACAAACAGACCTGAACTGTAAACATTGTATCTTAAAAAAAAATATCAAGCTTAATAAAAGTAACATTTATGCCTTGTTACTTTCTACCACAGGAAAAAGAGACCTGGAAAATAAAAAGCAAACAGGTCTGCGGACGAGTAGCTTGCTGCTGCTTTTTAGCAATGCTAAGCAGGCAATAAGAGAGCACCGGGGGCCCTCGTCGAACGCGAGCGCGCCGACGAGTGCGCCGCACTCCAATTGGACGCACCTCGGTGTTTTTCTTGGACTTGACGTAGGTTTTGATGCAGGAGGGCGGCGCGCGCGACACGCAGCGCTCATGGACCGTGTACTTGCAGACTGGAGAAACCACAGCACAAACACCATTGAGGGAAAACAATTAGTTTTGTTCGGAGGGTGTGCGGCGTGCTGGTGAATGCGCAAACAAAGCTGGTGTCAACCTGAAGCTGCGTGACCACTGGAGAGGCATCTTCACGATTTCTTTGTTTGATTTTTGCCTCACATCCATGCACGTCTGTTGGACTTATCAAGAACATTTCTCGCAAATGGGACGTGTTGGCGGAAAGCATCAGGGCACCTTCAACTGACTGTACATAATGTTTTCGACATTATTAGATACAATACATTAGTAATGGTTGCCTTGTGACAACTGGTATTATTATTAACAATTTTAATTACATTTTTTTTACTTAAAAGTGAATATATGCAAAAGTTGGTAATTGGTTTATATTACAAAAAAATAAAAATAACGAGTGACCATATGCCAAATAAAATCACTGTCTTGATAAAATGCCCAATTTATTTTAATTGTATTAAAATCCACCACTTTTTTTTTGATTTAATTTTAATTTTACTAAATGTCAGGCAATGAAGTCACTGCATTTTTTCTTAAAGTGAATGCCTGCCAGTAACTTTTGTAAGTTGTTTTTGTTTTGTGTTTTTTTTACATTTTATTTAAAAGTCAGTCAGCCACTCAAGTCAGTGACTTTTAAAAGAGATTTACTGACCTTTTCTGGAATTCCTATTATGCAAAGGTTTGTCAATGGAAACGTCCTCTGTCGCGGAAATTATATTTTGCTATATTCACACTGCAGGAATTCTACTTTCTTGATCAAACATACAGGCTGACCTCCTAAATTGACAACAGTTTCAAAGTAGTTGTCTTGAAAACTGGTGTCGAATAGCCTAAGTTTATTCTGAGACCGAGTTCATAAATGTTCAACATGGCACATTCCGTCAAACATTTTGGTTATTTCAACAACATTTGCCAAACTGATTGGCCTGTGAAATTAGGTTCAAATATTTGGGGACACCCTATAAATTAACCCTTTCAGGGACGGCGGTTACTCGAGTGAACATCTATTCAAATGTTGTTTTCTCTTATATCACTTCATCCCAAGTGCATCAACCACTACAATAGACTCTTTCGTGTGTTTCCATCCACTGCCATTATTTTTTTTCCATGCCTAAAGACTAATAAAAACACTCGAGAAAAAAAAATCCTGATGTAGGTTATCATTATTTGTGCATGAAAGTGTTGAAGGTATTCACATTTGTGCTCTAAAAATAAGTCATTCCATTTCTTTGCTTGTCTGTGGTGTTGGTGCCCCATTGCAGGTGTGTATACAAAAAGGGCTGTTTTGCAAACCCTGTGCTCATTGTGTATGTATGGAAATGAGGTGGTCGTTACAATAAAGTGTACGCCAACACCAGTATGTAAAATAAAGGAAGCAGGTCATTTAAAAAAAAAAAAAAAAAAAAGTGGATTGAAAATGTGACTTTATCGCATGAAAGGATAAGCAAAACATTATTATCTATTAATGGGAGTTCAGCAGGTTTCGTGTGTGTGTGTGCGTGTGTGTATTTGTTGTAGAGCAGCTCCACTCACATGAGCAGCAGAGTCCTTGCTTGCCGAGGCCGATAAGCATGTTGAGACAAAGGTTGCAGTAGGCCGGCTTGTTGAAGTGCTTCAGACGCCACACGTGCTGACCGTCATCTTTCACATTCTGTATGCACGCGCACGCACGCACGCACGCACGCACGCACGCACGCACGCACGCACCACGCGCGCACGCACGCGCGCACCCGCGCCCGCCCGCACACACACACACACACACCCACACACACACACACACACACACGCATATACACGCATATACACGGACGCACACGCACGCACGCAAACACCATTAGCAATGTTGAAGTAGCGACAGGGTCACTTATCTGATAAGCATTGAGTTTATTTTAGTTTTACTGCTTTCACCGTGCAATTACGGTAAGTTCAGCGCTGCAGAAAATCACACAGTAGATAAACATTGTCACTTTTGTCACTGCGCTTTTTTTTTTTTTTTTTATAAATTCATTTTGTTCCACTGGATCAAGAAGAGATTCTAAAATGTACATCGAGTGGACTCACTGGACAATTTAACACCATACTGTAATGACATTAAAATATAACTTTATAGAAAAATATTTAAAGGGTTTTTTTTGGGGTGGGGGCGGGAGGTCAAAATTGCCATTTTTATTCCAAGGTGTAAAATTCAACTTTTTGTTTTAAGCCAAGACAGATGTTGAATGTGAATGTTTTTTTTTAAACAACCGAATCCTTTTTATTTTTCCCATTATCGTTTTCAAAGGATAAGGAGAAAATAGCTCTCTGTACAGCCTTTGATTCATGATAACAACAAAATAAGTGTTGGTCTAAAATTGATGTGATGTAAATTGTCAAATGTGCAATTTAAACCAGATCTCAATTGAAACCGGTTGTGTTTCTGGTACATTTTTGCATTAAAAAAAAAAGGCAAAAATACATATGTATAATCTGTTTTAAATTCAGCAATTGTCATCATAGGAACATCCTTGGAAAAGTATCAATGCATGAAACCAAAAATAAGTTTGACAATGCGCGAAGACAGCTGGAATAGGCTCCAGCATGCCTCTGATTCTCATGAGGATTTTGTAAGCAGTTCGGATTAATGGGTGGCATGAAAAACAGTCGGGGTAAATAAATAAATAAATAAATAAAACTTGCACAGAATCTTGTCAAATGCCCCCATCTAGTGTACACTCTTTGAACTGCAATCATGCTCTTCAAAGGGTATCACCGATATGGTATCAATTTCGAAATGCAAATTTCTTGTGAATGTGCCAGTGTGAACATTCAGAGACACCGACGCCTTTGTGTACTCACGGTCTCCAGACCCAAAAGGACCAGAAGTGGGATGGTGGTCACCCCTCCCTGGATCCACTCTTCCAGAGACACGGTGCCGTCGCGGTCATAGTCGATCTCTTGCATCATTTCCTGGAGGATCTATGAATACAACAATTGATATGAAAATTGAGAAAAGGGGGCAGCAAGTCGAGCTCTTCACTTCACCAAGTCTTATGTAAATGAGGCTATATTTGGAATAGTATTTCTATTTCTCCCTGGATGATGGCTCCCTAACTTTTTTTTCTCGAAACCTTTCGTCATACTCACTCAAACGACTTGATGATGACCCCCGAAAGTAAAACGGAACGCAACTGATTTTGACTGAAGATGAAAATCATTTTATTTCATTTTCTTAACGTTAACATTTAATTCTCAGGCATCGAGAGGTGACCATTCATGTGTCATGTACATCGTTTTACGGGATTGTCAAGTTTTGCATGACCCTCTCTCCCCATTTTAGCGCGTACCGACTGAAATGTATATGTCTGGAATATATATGTATGTCCACATTGGGTTTTTTTCTTATACATATATAATATAAAGATGTGAGGGGGGGAGAACATAAATTTACGGTGTATAATTTTACTGCACAATTTATTTATTGAATATAGCAGAATACATAAACTGAATTATTACAGCTTTTTTTATATTTAAATATATTAAAAATGAAAAAAAAATGTTAATAGTATTGTATCAGCTGAGCAATTTCACAATGAAAATAATGTGTATTCTACTGTATTCCAACAGTCGGTTGGTTATTGAACTGCATTAACCCTTTCAGGGACAATGGTTACTACAGTGGACAGCTTCTCATGTTTTATCATCTTACAGGGTGCGTGAAAGGGTTAAATTGGAAGCTTTTCATTTTAACAGCTCAATTCTGACTGGATGTTTGCGGAAGAAACTGTATAGTGAAGGCGGCTGATGAGAAACGCTTGCAAGAGTGAGAAAAAAAAAAAACTTTAGTTCATAAATAAAGTCACATTTTAGCTTGAAAACATTTCGAGTTTGGCCTCTTACAGGTTTGAGCTCCGTCACGTCCCATTCCAGGTACTCGGCCACGTGCATCATCTGCGAAATGATGTGCTCCAGTTCCTGCAAACACACACAAATGCACGCACACACATTTCTATACGTATGGTGGTATATTTAAAGACAGTACTTAGCTGGCCTTGTAAGAAGCTGTTGTAAATGGGCGGATGGCTAATAACAGGTTGGACATGTCAGTGGAGGCGGTGTGAAGAGCTCGGTGGCTTAGATACAGTGTTTGTTGTTGTTGCGTTTTTGTTTCTGTTTTTTTTTCAGGGAGAAGCAGAGCAGCTGACGTTATTGTAAAGTTCAACACCGGGTCACTTGTGATGATGTTTCGTAATATGTTGAGTGTCATTCGGAATAGAGATGCATTGTTTCAAAGAATAAAGACAATAAAAACAAAGAAAGACTTCATTGAGATCTGCGTGTGTGCGCGCGCATTCATTTATTTTTTTGGGGCCACTTTTCCTTCCCCCCCTCAAGATAATAATGGGCTCCAGAGCTAATAATAGGATGCTAATAATGGCACACTAATGACGGGATATACAAAGTTGTCTCTTCAAGCCTCCAATTCCACGCCCACAAGAGTGTTGTCACATAAAATTGCAACCCTCAGTCTTCAAATTTCACTAATTCACAAATGTGAAGCAATGAATTTGGGAATTTACCAGCTTGGATGAGTTTGCGAGAAGCTTAAATGTTGTTCAAGAGCAAAAAATTGCCCTTGAACGTGGATGGCACTTATATGGAAGCCTTTTTCGAGCGACAGCTTGTCATTATTGACATTTGAACAATCTGCATGATTTCCTAACAGTCTTGCCAACATTTCACTTAAATGTAGCTTGTTTCAATTCATTTGAGTTATGAGGTGTCTCGGTCAGTACAGTACGTAGATAAGAGATGAAGATGAACTTCAAGTCTGGTGGACATACAAGTAGACGAATGTCATTTTACCTCTCTAGTAATTACAGTGTCTCTTTATTTAGGCAAGGTCCGATTATTTTTGAAGTTATTAAACCAAAATATCTGTGTGCGTATAGCGCCTCTCAAATCTAATAGCGGTGAAAGAAAATCATTTAATTTTTGGTTGATCCAGCACCATGCGCATCATAGTATTGGAATATAATTATTTCTGAGTATGAGTAATAGTACAAAGGTAGATGAGCTCAAGTTATCCCAAACAGATATTTTAGACAACCAGATTCAGAAAATGAGCTCGAGAATGTAGATGGCCATGATTTAATCCCTCCAGACACAGACAAATAAATACAGTAGACATTTTAGACAAGTGCAAGCTGGCTTGATAGCAGTCTATGTATGTATGTGCTCTTTTCTAATAATAACAATAAATACACGACATCAACAATTAAAAGAAATATTTACCGAGTTGTCCAAAGAGCCGTTTCCGTCTGTGTCATAGAGACGAAACATAACTGTGTCGAGAGCAGAAGGGGGGGGAGATGTCATCAAATTTGTGTGCTTTCATAACCTTTTAAAAGTTACACAAGATATTCATAATTATCACCGCGGTTGACTCGTCAAAGGATGACGACAAAGCACATAGACTGCTTTCCTATTATTGCATAAGATAACTGCTGACACCCATGAAAGTCTCCATTAGAAGGAGACACAGTGATGGTCTCTTCCACATTGCGAACAGAAAGTGATGTCGATTGTCAACGATCCTACAAGGAAGTGATTGTAGGGAGACAAAAATGGACAGTAAAAATATAATACTGAACACAACTGTTCATTTTTTTTTAAAGTGGAAAAACACGTGAAAACACTTACTGGACTACAAAACCAAAATGGCTGCCCCTTTTTTAAATTCAGGATTAAAAATATATATATATTTATTGACGAAAAAGGCTCAATCAAAGCCCCCATTTTGAGATAGTAGACAATTAAATTGCGTGTTTAGTAGGGTTAATGTCAAAATATTTACCGGTATATTCAATGAGAAAGAAATGGACTTTTAACACTTCACGACATCCCTGTGCTGGTTATTAACTCTTTGCCTTTATCAGTTACCTTTCATGTCATCATTACAAGTTAGCTGAACTTTGAGAAACATGGCATCACTAAACAAATAGTAGTCGGTTTGTCTCATAATCCAGGTATGCGTGTAAAATTTCAGGGAACCTGATGCCACAATTTTTAGCAGATCATTTCAAGACGATTCCAGTGACATCCCATAAGTATCATTTTCCTATGACAAATATTCTGAAACGTAGCAATGTTTAAAAACAGTGAAAGCGCACCATTTCTTGGCCAACATCTTGATGCAAAATCAAGGGGGTCGAGATTCGGTGTGACCTTTTTTGTTGGATCCAAATTTCAACTTTCCACAACTATTCTGATCCTAATCCTGTTTTGGTTATTAACTCTTTGCCTTTATCAGTTACCTTTCATATTATCATTACAAGTTAGCTGAAATTAGTGAAACATGGCATCACTAAACATATAGTCGTCGGTTTGTCTCATAATCGAAGTATGCGTGTAAAATTTCAGAGAACATGAAGCCACAATTTTTAGCAGATCATTTCAAGGCGATTCCAGTGACATCCCATAAGTATCATTTTCCTATGACAAATATTCTGAAACGTAGCAATGTTTAAAAACCGTGAAAGCGCACCGGTATCTTGATGCAAAATCAAGGGGGTCGAGATTCGGTGTGACCTTTTTTGTTGGATCCAAATTTCAACTTTCCACAACTATTCTGATCCTAATCCTGTTTTGAACAGACTGATATCAGCGGAAATCTTGTGAATGGCAGAAATAGACAACATATAACAATGATGGTGATTATTATAGTTACCGGTAATTAATTTCAGACACTGACACGAAAAAAACTAAGTCTCACCATAATAAAAATCAGTACAATTTGAAAATTACAATGATGACAAATATTCTGAAACGTAGCAATGTTTAAAAACCGTGAAAGCGCACCGGTTCTTGGCCAACATCTTAATGCAAAATCAAGGGGGTCGAGATTAGGTGTGATCTTTTTTGTAGGATCCAAATTTCAATTTTCCATAAATATTCTGATCCTAATCCTGTTTTCAACAGACTGATATCAGCGGAAATCTTGTGAATGGCAGAAATAGACAACATATAACAATGATGGTGATTATTATCGTTAATTGATTTCAGACACTGACTCGAAAAAAACTAAATCTCAGCATAATAAAAATTAGTACAATTTGCAAACTGCAATGGTTTTTAAATTGACAATGGTCAACAAAAATAATCGAAAAGCCTTTTCGTAAAGTAATATAATTAACAAATCTCATGTGATGTAGGTTAAATAAAAGACTGCAGTTCTAAAACAGACCACGAGAGAGCGCCATGTGCATGACTAAACTACACAAAGGATTGCTTTCAAGACAGAATCGTTTCCTGATCACACCTTGTAAAATGTCGATGTTCGTATACTTTAACGCCAATATTTTTTGCAAATTTTCATGTATAATTATGCCAAAGTTAAAAAAAAAAAAAAAAAGGTCAAATTGTCCTAGGGTTTGTGTGTAAGCCTACTTCAAGCTTACAAAAAATATTCAATAAATATCGAAGGGTCCGACTTCTGATACTTTGACTTCTTATTGCTGATAAACAAAAAAAATATCTCAAACTTTTATATGCTTTAGTGTGAGAGATTATATTTCATGAAAAAAATGTATCAAGATCATCTGATCCACAAGGTCAATTTCAAGGTCAAATTAAAGGTCACGTTTGTATAATATTCACCAATCTTCTAAATTGAACCAGTAGTTTCTGAGCTATAAGGCGTCAAATGAAAGCCGCCCCGCCGCTTTTTACATAAATTAAAAAAACTTGACGGGCCCCATCTCACGATGCCTTCTCCAACTCACCTAAGAGTTGAGATTTTGTGACGCACCGTCACGATCAACAAGCACACCCAGTTTCATTATCATCAAAATCTGTTTGATTCAACCCACTGGGTGATTCGGAATGCAACGACACTTTGGGGAATATCTGCCCGCACAAAGCCAAACAACTTTTTGTCATTACTTTAGGTCAGAGCAGAAGTAGTCACTCGTTTTTCTGTCAATTGAAATGATCTCCCTGAATATTCTTTCCAAACGTGATGAAATGTCTTGTTGAACACTGACGCGTCACATCTGTAAAATGTCAGCACTCACACTCCAGCTTGTCCTCGGGCCGTCCTCCTTCCAGCAGCGACAGGTAGCACACGATATCTTTCAGCTGCACCGTGCTCGGCGGCCCGGGTAGAGCGCTTGTCCTCAGTGGGGTTGAGTTGCTTTTCATCAGCTTGAGTCCTGTGGTGAAGGGGGGTGGGACAAAAAGTCAAACCTGCAATCGGGAAGTCTCTCATGTTGGTGGGGAGGCCTGACATCAATCAAAGAGCAACAGTGGCATCCATCAATAGCACAGCGATGGATTTACAAAAGAATATTTATGACTCACCAAAGTTATTATTATATCCATCATCATTCTAGCCGAACGACGAATACAGCGCACCCCTGTTTATCCCGGCGAATACGTTCAAGCATGACACGCAATAGGTGAACATTTGCGAGACAGAATGACCACAATTTTTTTTATATAGTTTTTCTCCTCTCACATCATTTAAAAAAACATTTAAAGCTGTGAAAAGACACTTTTAAAAGGATTTCTTAGCATCTGTTTCCACTCTCTCCTTGTCAAGAAATGGGACACTGATATAAAATCACGGGAAACAAAAAATTAAACATCAAAGCCCAAAAAACTCAAAGAAAAATGACACTATCTAGTGGCCATAAAAATAATTACAGCGAATAACGTGCATAATTTAACATTGATTTACACACCAAAAAAGCTCCCTTCTTAGCAAGGAGAAACAATTGCTGCAACGTTAGGTGGCTCAAAAATATACAAACAGCTAACAACCGTGAACGACTGTTGCCTATGGCAGTTTTTTTCAATCTTTTTCGAGCCATGGCACATTCGAAACTCATAATGGGTTATGCCACCCTTGGCAGCAATATCTTAAATCAAGCGTTTGCACTAATCGGTGATGAGTCTTTCACATCGCTGTGTGGAGGATTTTTACGATGATATTTTTTTACTATTTTACAAATACTATTTCACAGCCCTGTAAACTCTTACCGGGGACTTTGGGCTTGTCGGAGGACGAAGACGGGCTGGCATGGTCCTTGTTGCTGAAGGACATAAAGAGATGCTGGCAGAACTCTTGCGGCAGCTCACTCTCCAGGAAGGTCTGCATGAACACCTTGAAGCCCTCAAAGTCAATATCCTGGATTGACACACACACACACACACATGCACACACACACAGGATGAAAAATGACAGCCTTTGAAATGTGATCAATTCACATTTCTGCAGCCTGCGGGGTTTTATGTCAGTAAAGGAATTGTCAATGAAAAAAGAAGAAAGTAAAACTCACTTGGCTCAGGATTTCCTGTTTCTGTCAAAGATAGATAGGATACAGATTAAAGCAGTATATCATGGTTTAACATGTACAGTACCCTTCAAAAGTAACTTATGATTGTCGCAACATAATGAATTCTGAAGTCTACAACGCCATTTTGCCTGGCTATTTTAAAAAAAAAAAAAAATGCATGAAGACAATGACCCACAACACATTGCCAATACAACACAGGACTTCATCAAGGGAAAAAAAAAGGTCTTGGACTGGCCAACTCAATTAGCAGACCATAACCCAATCGAGCATTTGACCTCCAAAAGAGGAGAAACACCCAGGAACAAACAAGAACTGAAAGAGTCTGCGGTAAAGGCCTGGAAAAGCATTTCAAATGAAGAATGCAACAGTCTGGCTGTTGTAATCGCTGTCCCTGAAAGGGTTAAACATGTTCTTTTCACTTGAAAAGTGCATATGAAATGTATTATTATTATTATTATTATAGCTCCATACAAAAGTGGTTCTATCTTGAGTTATTTAACACATGTAGATGAAAATACCATGAAATAAAAGATGGAATTTTGACATTTTGTCTGTCATTTATCTTTTGATCAGTGAATAACTAAAACAAAAAAGAATCGGAGGAGACCGTATACATGCAGTGGCAGGTGATTAGATGCACTGGCAAGACTGTTGTGGAAAAGTGTGCCTCAAAACTTCAAAGGGTCTTCACGCGTGATGTCAGCAAGTCTCATGACATTTAATGTTTTATTTTTTTTAATAGGCTTTTTCAATCTGAAATAAGCTATATTATAAATAATACCATCCATTAGGCCTATGTATGTTACCTAGAATGCATAAAAATGTGTGTTGGATTGCTGGATGATGAATTGCTACAAACCTCCTCTGGATTGTATCTGGCCAGCACGCCATCGCCGTGGAACTCCTGCAGCACGTCTTTCAGCTTCTTGGTTGAGTCTGGCAACAGATCAAAGGTGCACAAAACCACTTCAGTACGTGTGTGTGTGTGTGTGTGCGCGTGTGTGTGTGCGTGCGTGTGTGTGTGTGTGTGTGTGGAGCTTGAATTCAACATCCCATGTAAGATGTTCATTGCAATACGCTGGGGCACTTGTCATCATTCCTCTGAATGCCATGGCAACACGATCCATAATGGGGGAGTTTGTGTGTGTGTGTGTGTGTGTGTGTGTGTGTGTGTGTGTGTGTGTGTGTGTGTGTGCGCGCGCGCGCGCGTCACATTCTGCAGATTTTATTAAAACGATTGTAATGCAGCACAGCGGCACTTTGGGCACATAAAGTCGTTGTTGGGAGGCATTATCGTGCGTTATGAATGTGCACACTTGACAAGCACAGAATATTCGACAACCGACTGCAGCTGCTGAAACACAATGATACAAATCTGTTCTCTGTGCCCACTTGCTTTGGTGTTCCCTCTTCAACTAAATCTGCTTTTTGGATTAGTTTAACCTTTTTCAGGGACAGCGGTTACTACAGTGGACAGCTTATATCAGGTTATCAGGTTACAGGGTGCATGAAAGGGTTAATGTATGAAAAAAACTTGATGATTTGATTCACTTGACGACCTGCCTAGAAAGTTAAACACATTTTATGAGCACCTGGCGACGCAAAATCCGGCATGCATGTTCGTCATGAGATGACACGAAAATAAAAAAAGGAAGCTATGCTGTGAAAAATTGCAGATTGAAGAATTTCTTAGTAAGCCACTTCTGTTGTTTTTGCTTTGCCTTTCACTGCCTTCGGCTTTTTGTTTATGTGCTTTTATTTAAGGTGCTGAAAAACATTCAGTTGCCTCGTGTATCAAATGTGTTGTGAGTAAAACCTTCGGGCCCTGCCTATGGTTCCGACGTAGGGCGTTCTATTGTTTGGAACACTTTGCTTTCCGACAAGCTTTGACAGTTTGAGTAAAGTTTGTTTGGAAGGACACATGGGCAGCGCGAGGCGCCCCGCCAGGCTCTGTCTCATATTTTCCACACTACGTCTTTCCGCACGTCAACATTTTGGAGGGGATCGTAAACCGCGGGCACGGCGCGGTGAAAGCGGCATGATGGATCACTGGCGGCGCTCGCATTAAACGCTTCAACGTCTCCATCTCGGTGCCAAAAATCATCAGCAACGCGGCGCATGTCATTACAGGAGGAAATTGGAAAAAGAGAATACATGACAGGAGCGCCGTTCAAGTTGAATTGTGCTGCACTTGTTGCGGTTCAAAGCTGTTATCACTTGATGTTTAACTGCAAACAGAAGCGTTTTCTGGAAATATATTTTTAGAAATAGAGCTTCAAAATGTCCTTATGTGTGACGTGAAATGGAACTCGCTGAGCTATCAAAAAGTCAGTTTCAGTATTAATTTCAGGGATTAAGAATAGCGGCAATCAGGGTTTTGTTGTTGGGTTGTTGCTTTTCAGAAAAAGCTTGTTTTCTCTCCTTTTTGGTAAGAAATGTGCTTTTGATTAAGCTAACCAATTGTCTACTGCTGATTACTAAAGACTAAAAAAAGATGGAAAACTTTTTTCCTCTGATGGAAGAAGAAAATCGACTTTTTCTTTTGGTCAGGTTTTTTTGGGGGACGGGGGGATCTTGTCACACACAATATTCAATTGGTCTTAAAAGATTGGTTAAAATGCTCTAAAATTGCTAGCAATGTGAGGAAATCTGCTTTGAAAACGGTGCTAGCCAAGAGAGTGAGGTTGTTTTTAATTGAAAAATGCTTTTAAATTGGATCATTAATTTTTCGGGTGTCAATATAAATTTGTATTAATAAAAAAAAAAAAAATCATAATATTTTCCAAAATCAATCAGCTTCACAAACCAAATTGTGTTCCAATAATAAAGATGCATTTGGAGGCAACAGACAACCCCTCTGTAACTATTCAAGCAAATTGGAAGCCTGAAGAAAGGGCATCCAAACTTTTTTTTTTAGAATCGTACATGCGACAATTAATTAGTTGTACTTGTGAATATATACTCCAAAGAACGATAGATAATTGTATAGAAGAATCGATGCATACTCACACTGGGTGTATTCTTGCAAGAGGGCGAATTCCGCGGGGGTCAGCGTGACCCAAGCGTCCTGGCCGCTCATCATGGTACTCAGGCCTCACCAAGCAGCATTTTTGCCACACCTAATCCAAACTAATGAGCGGTTTCAATGTGGGCTGTTTAGACAAAGGCAAGAAGGTAAAAGGAGCAGAAGAATATTGATATGAAAATGTGTCACATTGGAATCAAATTTGGCATCATGCTCCACACACATTGTCGGGCTGAGCCAAAAAATGCTTCGCTATTTAGCATGGCCCATTTAGCAAGGAGATCTGCTTGCAAGTGTGGCTCGTTGGACAACTTCTCTGGTCAGAGTTGGTCACAGTACAAGCTCTTGAAATGTACCTTAAATGGCAACTTTAAACCAAAACAAGAGACTTCTCATTTCGTTTCAGGCATGGTTTCCAGAATTTTTCGTGCATCCTGTTATGATGTCAAAGATGTCAAAGCAATTTCATGTCAATGGGTCAAATTGGGATTTTGAGGTGGGTGTGAGGGTATCATTGTTTTGTTTTTTTTCTAGTGAGATTCAAACCAACAAACAGAGCCACCCAATGTCAAGTTGCGCCATCCAATTGGTGTAAGTGGCTAATTTTTTTTTTCATCAAAGTGAGAGCCCCGCAATTTGCTCCAAATGGCTGCTTCAAACCAAAATGGCTGACTTTGTGTTCTATTTCGCGCATTAGTCTGTGAGATTCTTTTGTGTGTTTTGTTATGATCAACATCTCCACCCAAGTTCGTGTTGACTGGTGAAACTGTTTTTTTTCTAACTTTTCATGAGATGCTACTGAGCGAGTTTTGTGGGGTAGAATTTGAGACAATGTTCAGCAGGACACACATACTAGCAAAGAATTGTAAGTTTTCAGGCATGTCCCATATCCCCACAGTATATAAATAACATTTAATTTAATTTAATTAAGGACCCAGCAAGCGTAGTTGGATATTAGGGATAGGTGTCTGTTGGTGCAGCATCCTAGCCTAATGCAACAAGTGCAAGAGTCTGTTTTTTGTTTTTTTGGGTTTTTTTTTTTTTGGCATTCTGGGCTGTGTCCGCTGGCATCATCAGACTGAGCTGTTGCTATGATGATGGCGCAAGCAGCCCCCCAGACTCTTAATGAGACCACCATTTACACAGCCCGCATTTAATCGCTTGTTGCAGTTTTTGGGAGCCCAAATGATGCACAACCCATTAGGGACAAACAACTAACCTAGTCTCCACATCATTACATTACTGTCTCAGTTGTGTGCAGCCTAAATGACTGCAAGTAGTCGCCACGCATGCATGAAAACAATTATTAAAATATCACACACATACACACCCACATGCATGATTTCCCGATATCCTAAACTGGCTTATCTTGTCATTCCGAGGCATGCTTCATAAGCGGCATCCTCATGTGTGTGCTCACGCTTCAGTGCGCCGTATCCATCAAGAGACGGAGAGTGCCTTCCCACACACATGCAAAAAAAAAACAAAAAACAACCATACACACGTTCGTACACATTGCGACACTCATGCTTCAATGAGACGATGAGATGAGGTCAACATGCCAGCGCTCACCTGCGACAGAGTCCAGGGAGCAGATCGCGTTCCCAGATGAGTCCAGAAGATGCGCTGGTCGCTCCAGATAGTGGCCGAAGACGAGGCGGTGTGATTGCGCTTGTCATTGAGAGTGTGGAGAAGAGGAGGAGGCGGTGATCCACTGGGGGATCCAGTGGGTGCTGAGGCAAGAGTCTTTCTATTGTAATTAGATGTTGACTGTGGAGAAGAAGAGGCGGTGCCGATTCAGTCGAGGATCCAATTGGTGCTCAAGAGTGTGGATTTTTTTTTTTCAATTAGAAGAGGCAGTAGTGATCCAGTGGGTGATGGGGAGAGTTGGCAGTAATCCAGTTGAGGATCCAGTGGTTGATCCGGTGGAGAATACGAGGAGGGATTCAGCGTATTTTGAATTAAACATCAAGTGTGGATAACACCACATAGGGATTCAGCAGTGGCTCCACTACGATCTCGGGGGGTTCCATTCAAACAAGTGATCCAGTCAGTGATCCAGTCGAGGATCCAGCGTTTGAGCCAGTAGAGCATTCAGTGGATGCTGGGACTAGATGGTCTATGTTGTGATTAGATTTCAAGTATGGAGAAGGCAGCTCTGATCCAGTGGATGATCCATTGAATGATCCAGCAGATCATCTTGTTGGGATCCAGAGAATGTTGAGACACGAGTGTTTATTTATGCTACAAATCGATGTTAAGTGTAGAGAAGAGGTGGCTATGATTTAGTCGAGGATCAAGCGGATGCCGAGTGAAGATTTTTTTCATTAGAAGTCAAATGTGAAGAAGAGTTGGAGCATCCACAGGGGTGATCTAGTGGAAGATTCCAGCAGATTTTCCAGTGGGTGTTGTTGAGGCTGAGGAGTGTGTCCACTGTCATTAGATGTTGAGGATGGCAAACAAACAGTGATCCAGTATGTGCTTGATTCAGTGGATGTTCCAGTGGTTGATCTGGTGGATGGTCTGGGGCTGATCCAGTTAAGGATCCATTGGATGGTCCGATGGATACCGAAGCTCTGGTTTGGGCTTTTCAATCAGATGTCAAGTATGTACACAGACGGTGGTGATTCAGTGGAAGATCAAGTGCATGTGGACGCAGGAATCCGGATTTCGCCTTGGATCTTGAGCGTGTACGAGAGACGGCGATGATCCAGCAGCATGAAGTGGGAGTCAAGGCAAGAATCTGTACTTCTAAACAGGATGTCGGGTATGAAGAAGAAGGGGTGCAGATCCGGTGAAGGATCCAGCGGATGATCCAATGGCCGATTCCGTGAATGATCCAGTGAGTGCCTAGGCAAGAGTCAAGTCTGTCTGAATTCGATGTAGAGTATGAAGACGTAGGGGGTGGCGATCCAGTGGTCAAGCCTGCGAACAATCCAGCGGGTTCTCAGGCAAGTGTATATATTTCACATTTAAATGTTGCATGTGAAGAAGGGGGAGTAGAACTCCAGTGAATGATCCAGTGTGTGCTAAAGCAAGTCAATTCTGTGAAAGACATAAGAGGTGTCAATCCCAGGGTCGATCCACTGAGTGCTCCATTGGATGCTGATGTATTTCTGAATGAGATGTCGAGAAAGAGGCTACGGTGCTGCTGTTTGTTTTCCTCCAGTCAAAGACGTCTGAGAGAGAGAGAGAGAGTTAGAGAGAGAGAGAGAGAGAGAGAGAGAGAGAGAGAGAGAGAGAGACTGCGAGAGAGCAGACTCATCACTTTTGCCGCCCCCTCCCCCCTGTTTCTCTCTCCTGTCAGCATGAACGTAGCATCAGTTTGCATTCAGTGTGACAGCCTCTACTGCGCCAACCTTTGGGGAAACAACCTCTCCTAGGAGATCCGGTGAAGGATCCAGCGGATGATCCACTGGCCGGATGACACAAAGGACAGATGAAAGAGACGAGAAGGATTTATGGAAGCATGCATGCTGCATTCCATATTCATGTGTCATTTCAATCCAGCACCTCGACAAGTCGAACTGTAGAGTGAGTGGCACCCAGTATATGATGGCAATGTATTCCAACAGACAACTGGATTGGATCATGCGTTCCAACACACTAACTGAATGGAACCTACCCTAATGGAAAGTGTATCTGGTGCCTGGGCCTTCAATGGGGATTTATCGGATGTAATCAACCACTTAAGACTCCCACTAGCACACATCAATATTATACAAAAACACAATATAACATCTATACGGTAAATCCAATTTATCATGAGTTTGCTGTCCTGTGACTTTGAGGATTTTATTTATTTTTTTGCACAATTAATAATTTATGTGGTTCTCAGTCTGGTCTAATCTGGGTGTAATCCTATTCTTCTTCTTCTAGATGGTAGTCCACAATTTACTCCGAAACAGTGTTAATTTAATCCAAAAAAAAGAAGATGAATGAAGAAGACATATAACCCAGAAGTCATCCGCACGGCCTTGTTTCACAATTTCATGTCATCCTCCGGAACCCCGGAACCTTGTTTTAAAATGCAACAGGAAGCAACGGCAGTTTTGCTCATCAAGTTTTGCCCAGATTGAAAACGGACACCTGCTTATGTCATCGAGACAAATTTGAAATCTGATTGGTTTGACAAATCAGAAACAGTCCTGTTGCTATTATAGTTCGAGAAAAATTTACCAGCTCAACTGACTGTGAAGTGCTTGAGCAGATTAAATTGATTTGGCAAGACAAAAAGGCTGAAATGTGTTTGGGCAAAAAAATAAAAAATACAAAATAACATCCACATCCGCGGAATGGAAGCAGTGCAGCCGAGAGAAATGCCCACAAATGAAGACAATAGACCGTTGGAAAGAAATAAATACAATGACATGGAATGAATATTTGAATTTAGTAATACTGTACAAACAAAGACGAATAGACATCTACTACTTCTTGAAGTGATTTGGTAAGATGCTTTAGTCATTTTTTTGTACAGGATAAAGAATATACGTTTGTGAATATAGTTCTATAATCTGTCTAAAGGTGTTGCACCACCATTTATGTCCAAATATCTGTTGCCTCTTTAAAAAAAAAAAAAAAAAAAAAAAAAAACAACAATCGATGCTAACCATTAGTATGTCGATGCCAATTTGCATTATTTTTTGGCACCAAGTATGTACGAGTCATCTTATGGCCACCCCTTGGCGAGTTGTTGTTTCACCCTGGAGACCCCAGTGAAAAATTTCTGGCTCCGCCCCTGGGCTGCGGAGACCACTACACCACACAGTCAAATGGGAACGGCTCATTTAGTGCACTCTCATCTCATTCGCTGGAAAGTGAGCAGTTGCCATGGCAACCTTTAAGTGCACATCAACCCGCTGCAGTCGATTCACATCGCTGCTTCGTTGTTTTCTCTCCAAGTCGATGAGCTTTGGAGGCAAAAATGTGAAATAGTGTTTATCTTGTGAGGCCAGAGGAGTAATTGGATCTCAATGGAACCACTGGATACATAATTCTATCACTTCACTTGTACTCCACTTATGAGGCTAAAAATAGCAGTGTCGTTTGCCTGCCTGAATGGGCATTACGTAAGCTCCAAAAAGTCTACGGGGATGACCCAAGGTGAGGTTTTCTTTCCCGAGGGGACGGAACCCATGACGGATCGGCCTCCTCACAAGGAGGAGTGTGGCTGATCATGCCGATGCACATGACTTAATATGCCTCCATCAAATGCTAATTGTCAACATCCTCAACGGGACACTTCATTACGAACACCGACCATCAAACATTCTGCCTGGTAACATGAGTGAAGTCAGATAATATTCACATGGTGGTTGGTACAATCAAATAAAAAGAAAAAAAAATTGTCAAGGTGGTGAAAATTAAATGAGTTAAAACGAAATAATTGTCCAAGTAACATAATCACAGTACATTAAAAATAATGTCTTAAAAGTGGAAAGTAAAAAAAAAAAGAAAATGTCAAAAACAAAATATATGAAGTAGAGTATAATTTAAAACAATCCAATCTGAACAATTAAAAATAAAAATGCAATTTTAAAAATCCTTCCAAAATACAATAATGAAAAAAATGTTTTTGAATAAATACAAAATGAAAACTGTTTCTCTGCAATATTCATTCATTCATTCATTCATTTTCCGAACCGCTTGATCCTCACTAGGGTCGCGGGGGGAGCTGGAGCCTATCCCAGCCGTCTCCGGGCAGTAGGCGGGGGACACCCTGAATTGGTTGCCAGCCAATCGCAGGGCACACAGAGACGAACAACCATCCATGCTCACACTCACACCTACGGACAATTTAGAGTGTTCAATCAGCCTACCATGCATGTTTTTTGGAATGTGGGAGGAAACCGGAGTACCCGGAGAAAACCCACGCAGGCCCGGGGAGAACATGCAAACTCCACACAGGGAGGCCGGAGCTGGATTCGAACCCGGCACCTCTGCACTGTGAAGTCGACGTGCTAACCACTGGACTACCGGGCCGCCTGTTTCTCTGCAATATAAAATAAAAATATCAGGAATACAGTAATTACACATGAAAATAAAAAGAAGATTAATTTTAAAGACAAAGGAAAAAAAATAACTAACACATGTAAAAGTTTTTAAATGTACAAAAATTAAATAAAATCACCACTGGACCACTGGGCCACCCAGAGACTGCATTAAAATAAAAATGACTGAAAATTAAAGAAATATCAAACATAAAATACATTTTAAAAAGAACAGAAGAAATGACGAGAAATAATTGAAAACAAATCTAAATATGAATAAAGGATATTAATATCCAAAATAAGTTCAAATGAAAAGACTTCCAATATATACATAAAAAAATAATTCCAAACAATACACAGTGTGTCAAAAGTAAAAACAAAATGTTCAAAAGGAGAGAAAGACAAATATAAATACTAAAATAATACAAAATGAAATAATAAACTATATCAGAAGTGAAATAAGTTAACAAAAAGAGCGCTAATAAAAATGACTTGTATTTAAAATGCAATTTGCATTTCACAGAATTCTCAAAGTGATTCAAAGTCAAATATCTAAATATTAAATGTTACAGCAAACGGCTGATGAATTAAAAATGAGAAACACATGATAGGTTACATTCACAGTAAAAGAAGCGCCAACAAAAGTCAAATCAAGCATTTTGTACAATACAAGCAACGAAGAAAACACACACAAAAGTGTCATCTTGAGCTTTTTTCTTTTGTTTTCTGTTCTTTCCTTTTTTTCCCCATCCAGATCTAATGAGCAACGATGGATGTTATTGATCGTGGCGACATTTTGTCGAGGGTTAAGCGGCAGGCCTCGGGCGTCCATTTTACGACGCTCCTCCGACCCAGCGCCATCAATATGTCTGTCCTGGTCTCATTTTATGACTTGTGATCATTAAACAGAAAATTGTGTTAGAATCGATCGATAGAATGATTAGTCGATTGCCACCAAGGATTTGGGTTCAGGGTTTAATGTCAGGATGCATACAGTGTGCCTGGAAAGTATTCACAGCGCTTTATTAGCAAATAATTATTATTTTGAAGATAGAAATCACATTTTATCCAAAGGTGAAGCGTTGTGAATACTTTCCGGATGCACTGATTCAGAGCGCTTCACTTTTTCACATTTTGTTGTGAATTTGAAGGAAAACAATACAATGCATGACTTAGCCACTGGGGGCAGTGTAATCCAGTCTTGCAGACAGAAACAAAGAAGAGGAGTCTTTGGGAATATTAGTTCTTCGCTGAGGATAAAGAAGACATGCCTATGATTATTTTGTTATGAAAGCATGTTCATGAACACATGCACACATGCGTCCAAGAAAATACAGAGCGGTTGTGCCATCTGTCCTGGTGCTCATGCATGACGAATATGATGAATATGATAATATCATATCGATGAATATTCACAGCTGCTTGTAGCTTCTGCTTTGACACTGCATTAAAATGAAACGAATAATGGCGTCAAATCCTACTTTTAAACCGAAATCATTTATTAAAACCCTAACCCAGTTTCAAAACCCAACTTTCAAACCCTAAACCTGTCTTGAAACCCCACTTTCAAACCCTAACATTATTATTAAATCCTACTTTCAAACCATACACTTTCCTGAAATGCTACTTTGAAGCCATTTTGCAATCCTACTTTCAAAACCTAATCGTGGCTTGAAAGCTTACTTTAAAAAATATTAACCTTCAATTGAAACCCTACTTTCAAACCCTAACCATGGCTTAGAACCCTACTTGTGACTAACTGATGCCCTCGGGCACCACATTGGTGAGCCCTGCTCGAGTCCAACCACAACTTGCACCCTCACCCAGTCTTGAAACGTCAGAGTGTTACAACCCATACTAAACCCTGTACATAATAAATAAGGTGGTGTAATCTATAAAGTTTAGTCAAAAAATAGCAACGGTAATTAAAGTATTGTATCGCTTTATTTGTTGGATATACTATATTATAATACTTGGATCTTATGCAGATGAAGCAGATGCTGACAGGGAAGGAAACAGTGCCATCTTCTGTGCAACATTTTACTCCACCACAAATTGTCATATACAGGGGTCCCTCTACTTACTTAACTACTTGTTTAAGAGGCTAAAAAGCAAAAGATTAAAAAAAAAAAAATCCATCAGTGTATGGAGTAACCTTCAGTGTATGGAGTGAGCGTGAGGAGCCACGGTCCGCAGTTCCCGAGTCTCAGTCAGACTTCATCTTGAGGGAGGGCAGTTGTGAGAAACTCTGCAGAGCCCAGTAAAGCACACTGAGGAACACCAAGGCCTGTGAAACACACGGACACGTTCCGAGTTATGACTGCAGTATTACACAGTAAAGCAGACAGAGGGAGACAAAGACTTGCATAACACACAATAGACTGGAGGAGAATTTTTCCAGCATTGCATTTGTAATATGACATTAGTAGTATTAGAGTACTACATTTTCAACAGTACTGGTGTTACTTCATAACGTTTTCCACAATTCAACAAACTCCTCGACAAGTCCTTACCCTGGTTTGAAACTCTCATTTGAAACTGCTACTTGAAAGACTCTTTGTCTTCAAGCCCATTATTGAAATCCGAACCCATGCGTGAAACTCAAATTTGAGACCCTAAGAAAGACTTCAAACCCTATTTTGAAACCCTAATGGAAAACATGCTGAATGGAAATCATGCACTGCAGACATAAAAAAACAAACAAAAAAAACAATGTATACTTAATTTTTGAATGTATTGGTAGAGTGTAGGCCAAAAAATATATATTAAAAAAATTGCACAAGTTACTACCTTGGTGGCGTTATGGAAAAATGTTGTTTTTTTGAACATATTTGTGAGTACGTTTGAACATATTCATTCGTACGTAAGAAAGGACTTGCGAGTACTTCCCGAAAGTACTTGCGAGTACTCTGGAATGGATTTAAATACATCCGAAAGTACTCGCAAGTACATTGAAACGTATTTGCAAGTCAAAACGCGTTTACTCTCCATTGTCAGCTCCACGCTTTCGGAATATTTGTCTTTGAACAACCGAATTCCAAATCCTAATCCAGTTGTAAAAATCCTAACCCTGCCTTGAGATCCTACTTACAAAACCTAGCCATGTTTTGAAACCTCAACCCTGGCTCGATACCCTACTTTTAAACCTCAGCCTTAAACTTATTAAGTTTTATTTACAAAGCATCATACTTAGCATTAAACTGTCATTTTATTCTCATGAACATTTTGGACTGTTTTGGCGTCATCTGTTTTTGCGATGAAACAGCATCAAAGAGCTTGTCAATAAAAGTTTGATGTTTTTCCCTCCAGAGGGGCCTCTTAATATTTTGACATAATGTAGAATTCCCTAAATCCTAATTATCAGCTTTAACCTGGCCCATACAAAAACCCTCATTTTACTCAATTTGCCACAATAGGAGACATCTGCTTTTGCTTTTGAACTCTCCATATAAAACGCTTGAAATCCTCTCCTTGGAAACCCGAACATTGCTGATTTTAAAATGTATTCATGTTGTCTTGTCAAAATTGATTTTGCTCTGACCAACGAGTCAGAGTGTGGAAAAATGATGTCATCAAGGGCCAGCGCTCTGGCCGGGTGCGGAGAAATTTCAAATCTGATTGGTAAAACAAACAGTTGTATTGCTCATAGAGTTGAAGTTGACATGGGCCAGCAACGACTTATTCCGAAGGCCCTGGGCAGATTAGATTGACATGGCAACACATAGAGGCCGAAACCTGATTGGCCAACAAAAGCTAACATCCACAAGTGTGAACGTACGCTCCGCTTTAGTCGAGCATAGCGCATGAATAAAACAACAGGAACATCCTGCTCTCGATCCTCAACTGTTCATTCATCATCACTAACATCACGTCGTCACGTCCAAGTGACACAACACACATGGACGACACATGTGAGCACCACGAACGCAACATGTCATCACAACCACAACACATGCTCACAACTGTAAACCGTGTCGAACCAGACCACATTTGACATCATGCTTGCAGACGTAGCCTAATCGGTGCATATCGTCACTCTCGGGTATGCCGTGAAACCCCGGGCATACGGCCGACGCGTTCCGGTCCACACCCGCCCTCAATAGGTGAAAATCTGCGAAATACAGACCAGCCAATTTTTTTTTCTCCATTGCTTTTTACCCCTCCTACATGCTTGAAACACATTTTAACCCTTTCTTGCACCCTGTAACCTGTTAACACGATAAGATGTCCACTGTCGGAACCGCTGTCCCTGAAAGGGTTAATGTATTAAAAGAAGCAAACAAATAAATGGGATGGAGGTCTCACTGTACTTCCAGTGGTCCAAAAACACACAGCGGTGCTCCTAAACGTTCCTGTCTTGTGTTGAGTTGCACTTTCACCATGGAGCAACATGTGTTCTGTCTGGTGTGTGTTTGTGTATGACAGCAATATTTCTCATGGTTGCGCTCCAGTCTCTGGTGGGGCGTAAAGCTGGCCAGTGTAGCCTTCCTGAACGCCGAGCTCTCATAGGAGTGGACAGGAAGTTGCAGTCGTGCATGTGTGTGTGTGTGTGTGTGTGTGTGTGTGTGTGTGTGTGTGTGTGTGTGTGTATACACACTTTATTTTTTACCCAATATTGCTGTCCTCTTATTAAATACAGTGGAAGCTCTGTTCGCAAATGATCCAGTTTATGAACAATTGGATATATGAAAAAAAATTTAATACAAAAAATGACCTTTGGTTTACACACCATTTTCGGTTTGCGAACAGTCTCAGAACATCATCGGCTCCTTGCTTTACTCTGTTAGGTTGACCCAAAAAAACTGGCAACAGAAATTTCGGCCTCAAAGCTATAATTGATTATTTTAAAACCATCTTTGCGGCACCCGTAACCAACGTATGGCCACTTTCGTGTTTCCTCCCGGACAAATGCCGCTGACGGTAAATGATCCAACCATTCATTTTTTGATCCGCTTTATCCTCACAAGGGTTTCGGCGAGTGCTGGAGCCTATCCCAGCTGCCTTCGGGCAGGAGGCGGGGGACACTCTGAACCGGTTGCCACCCAGTCGCAGGGCACACAGAGACGGACAATCATCCGCGCTGGCACGGAGAGAACATGCAAACTCCACTCATGAAAGCCGGAGCCGGAATCAAACCCAGCACCTCTGCACTGTGAGGCCGACGTGCTCACCACCAGACCGTAAACGGTCATGAAAGTCAAACTCTTAAAAACAAATCAAACTGCATGACTCCAGCAAGATCGTAAGCTGACACCAAAATGGAGTATATTCTTGTTTTACTACATTTCACGCTTTACTTTTGGGTGGCCCGAAACCTGAACTAAATCCCATGACGTGCATGGTGTCTCCTCTTACAGAAATTCACTCGATTCAACATTAATTTCCACATTGCTTGAACGTTTGGTGGCCATTCTTCACATTGATCAAAGTCCGTCGGCACACTTTTTGGATGTTCTAAGATGTGACATGAGGACACAGCAGCACTATTTTCTCCTGCCAAAAAGTTCTGAAATTATTTTCCAATGCGCTGTAAAGTTCCCATGGCGGCTCATATATCAGCACGCCGGAACGCTGATGCTCAGGCGATTTTTCATTTCAAGACAGCCATGCAGCTGCGTCGGGGTGACATTTTCACCCCACTTCCGCTGGATACAAGACAATAAAATTGCGTTATTGTCACTGATAGGGAGAAGAAAACATCATCTCTGCTCGAGCAGTAGCAAAAAAATACAAAGAATGAAAGAAGCAATTTAACAAATACGGTACAGTGTGGCCCTGCTGTATTGCGGTTTATTGTTTGTGTCCCACAGCCTCGATTTTTAAGCTATATACAGTATATATATAGATATATATATATTTTATTTATTCATCGATTAATCAATAGAATAATTAACAGATTAATCGGTTATGAAAATAATCATTAGTTGCAGCCCAATGAGAGAAACACAGAATAGATCATGGGAATTAGGACAATATATATTTTTTTTCAATTGTAGAGCTCAAATGTGGGTGTGATTTAACATTCTTGAATTCTCATGTTCATTCCACAATTTATTACTGCACCTCCAATGCTAATTTCCATTAGCCACTCACGGTGTTTCGCGTTATGCTCGCAGATTTTTGTGATGACATAACATGGTTTGGTTCAACATTTTGGTGTATAAGTGTGCGTGTAAATGTATCCCGTTTGAATCGCTTTTGTTTTATGTGTTCGTTTCACACAAAACTTCAAGTGGGAAGAACAAGCACCTTGAAGCAAGCAGGATCTTCCTCTTTTTTTGGTGAAGTGTGCGAGGAAAGGAGAGAAAGAATGAATGAATACTTCAGAAAGTACTGCTCATTTGATATTATTAATAAGAATCATAAAATGAGTTTTTTTTTTCTTTTTAATTGAATACATTTTAGTTGGCCACCTAAAAGCTCCTTGTTTTATGAGCCAGAAATGTGTACGGCAGAGCGGCAGGAATGAGCCCAGCGAGGAAGGGATGAAAGTAAAATGGTGAGAAAAAAAAAAAGCAGGTGAAGGGGTACAAAATTCTGTGTTTTAGGGTTCCTCCCCTGAGGAGAATTATCATTTAAAACCTTTTTTTTTTTTTTTAAATAACTTCTTCACTTCTAAAATGAGGCGACTGGCAGTCAAACCCGTCTTTACAATGCATCCCTGGAGAAAAATTAGCATTTAAAACATTTTCTTTGAGCACATCAACTTTAAAGACGTGGAAATCCAACTCAAAGAAAAGCTTCTTTCGCAGTGGACATCAGAGCCTCGTTTTTCCCAGCTTGCTGTGCCGGGTGAAAGGTATCGACGAGGGTTTGGGGGAGTCGTAGATTCAGAGGTGCAACAGGGCACTGTGCGTGTAACCTTTTGTTTGTTTGTTTGTTTGTTATATAATCGCAGGTCGAGATGCTGGCATGGGTGACGCATTTCAATTTCTGATCCAGCTGCGGCTGTCAAAGACTTTTGGAGGAGGTCATTCGACCAATCATCCAATCGATTAGTCGAGTCATCACACAAAAAGGAATTTGGCATTATTAACTCATTCAATGCCAAGGATGTTTTTCACATGTTTCTTTAAGCATTCAGGAATTCAATCCCAGGTACGTCTTGAGGTACAGTATTTAAAAAAAAAAAATCACGTGGTCGGTTAACCCTGTCAGGGTCAGCGGTCACTACAGTGGACAGCTTATCATGTTATCGGGTTACAGGGTACATGAATGGGTTAAAGAAGGGTCTGAAAATGGCCGGCACTGATTAAACATTACCATGAATACAAAATTTGCATTTAA